CCCTCGCAAAACTTTTGCGTTCTCTCGCAAAGATATTTGTGTTCCCTCGCAAAACATTTGCGTTCTCTCGCAAAGATATTTGCGTTCCCTTTTGCATTCTCTTGCAAAGATATTTTGCATTCCCTCGCAAAACTTTTGTGTTCTCTCGCAAATATATTTGCGTTCCCTCGCAAAACTTTTGCGTTCTCTCGCAAAGATATTTGCGTTCCCTTTTGCGTTCTCTCGCAAAGATATTTTGCGTTCCCTCGCAAAACTTTTGCATTCCCTCGCAAAACTTTTGTGTTCTCTCGCAAAAGATATTTGCGTTCTCTCGCAAAAGATATTTGCGTTTTGCGAGGGAACGCAAATATCTTTGCGAGAGAACGCAAAGTTTCTCGAGGGAATGCAAAAGTTTTGCGAGAGAACGCAAAAAATCTGACAAATATTTTTTCCTCCCACCCCAAATTTTTTCACTCAATCTGATTTTTTTCCACCACCATGTCCCTTTAGGGGCTCTGTAGGATTCTGTCTTCTAACGATTCTAATGGACGGGACGTTTAGATGCGCACTAGAGGCTGTTTAGCCAATCACAACACACTGGGCTAGCTAACCAATCAGCCCATCGCCTATTTCTGAGGGTGGGGCTTCATAAAAACAGGAAATGATCAGCGCGTTTCTCAGAGAAGGGACAGAGTGGTGTGGAATAAAGCTAAATTATGTGAAAAATAATACGTTTTTTTAAAAACGAAGCATTAACACATGGTAGACTGCACCCCATAAACACAATCAAGCCTAGAAAAAAACAGTGAACCACCCCTTTAAACAGAAATGTTTCATTCTACATATTATATAAGGCATATTTTAGTAGTGTTTACTGTGCCGTATTTACGTGGTGCCAAATAAACAGAATTTGAAGATGAAGATATTAGGCATATTAATATAGCCGGCTGCTCGCACACTTTACGTTAGGATTCTTATTGAACTGTATATTGAAAACACATAAATAAGTGCTCTCATTCTTTCTCACTTAGTATAGTTATAGTAATTATTATAGATTTCCATTTCACAAAACAACTCTTTGTTTTGAAAACTTCCTGCAAAATAACATTTTTCAACAGGTTTCAAATACTCCAGGTAGCCCCGCCCCAAACTGATGCCATTGGTTGATTGAACGTTTTTATGTGTGGACCACTCAATCAAAATTGCAACTTTAAATAGATAGAAACAACAATATTACTATGTACATTATCAGTTTCAGTTGAAACTATCTTCAGTCTCATCCAGCTGCCTGGAACAGGTTCATGTGTGTCTGAGCTGAATATGACCGTATGTGTATGTAGGAGAGATCACCACCACAGCTCTTCTGGATCGAGAGATGAAGTCTGAGTACATTCTGATCGTAAGAGCCGTTGATGGAGGGGTGGGACCACAGCAGAAAACTGGCATCGCTACGGTAACGGCTGACTCTTTGATCCACCTCAGACAAACGACATCAACTATGAGAGCCACTGCATATTACTAGACAGAAGAATTGTTTATTGTGACTATTATCATTAATAAATTAAATTATTTATTGAAATTGGGTGTCTATTATGGGTGTCTACTGTTCACCATATTTTAAAGCAAAGTCACCCGAAGCAATGCATTATTATGTTGCGTGTATCTGTCCACTGCAGGTGAACATCACTATTCTGGACATAAATGATAACGCCCCCATGTGGCGAGATGAGCCGTATCAAGCGAATGTTGTGGAGATGAGTCCCATCGATACTGACGTTATTACTGTGAGTGCACTGATCTGACCTTTAACCTCTGCACTGACCTTTTGATCTCAGACTGACTTATAAACTATAGACCTGACCTTTGACCTGTACATGAAGGTTGCTAATTATACATTCATGTTTTAGTTCTGCTCAACCATCAACTTATACACAAATATATTAATAACTGATTTTTTTTTTTAAGCAATATATCCTCAAAACTGTTTTTGACAGCTTTGTATGAAGATCAGCCTGAAATTTTATTTACTTTTTTAATGATAAATTTCCCTCTCTGGTGCATTCTCCATTCAGTGTTTGGGTGAAGACATCATCAGTGAATCATGGCTTAAAATTCAGTCTGTTCACAAAAAAAGCAAAAGTATCATATGGCTTTTATTTTTATTCTTTAATGGCGCAAAGTTCCCCTTTTAGAAGTCTGGTTAGACACCAAAAAGACTAAAATCCCATCATATAAGAAGTGTATCGATTACTTTAGATGAAATGATAAGATACAGAAACAGTGGCAGTTTTGAAGCAGAGGTTTGATCCTAATGTCAGCAGGTAAACAGTTAGTACTATTGATTTTGTGAGTGTTAATGTCTTATAGTTTCTCTTTGAGTCAAATCCCCACTGTACCCAGAGGTACAAGTTTCCATCTCCTCTCCGTTTGGAGAAACCCCCCCGGTCCCTGCCTTTGATCGGCTGCAGTTTTGCAGTTGAATTCAAAATGGGCCCTCACCTCGGTGTCCTTGGAACGTTTTACAGAGATTTCTATATGCTCATATTATTCTACTGCTTGAAGTATGTGAAAAATCCCATCTTGAGGGGTATTCCCTCCTTTGGTAAATGAATAAATTATTTCCTATGTTAATGTCAGTCACACCATCTCTACTTTGAGTCTCATATGGCTAGGGACCATTTAGAACTGGCTAAGGGTTTCCAAAATCTTAAACTGCCATATGATGGACTATTTTTGATGCATTTCCATGAGTCAGTGTTCACAGGGTTATCAGTCTACCAGGAAACAGCATCATGTTTACCAGGTGGTGAAGTGTGTGATTTATACAGCACTAGCAGCATCAAACAGAATTGCAATAATTACTGTTTTGATGACGAAATCATTAATTAAACTCATAAATTCATGCAGTTTGTTGATTCATTTATGTCAAACTAATTACATCACCTTTAAGGAAGAGCTAGTCTATTGGATTGAAAGATTAGTTGCATGGCATCAAATCTTTTTAAAGACATTTTTCTTTGAGGCAATTAGTAAGTCACATATGCAGACACAGTTATATGAAATATTCATTTTTTTCTAAATACATTTTCTGCTACTTTTAAGGGTTGACTGCTATGTCATTATTTAAATGAACTACAATTGTGTTACTCACTTTGTTGCCATTACTGTGGTATCATTGATTTCAGATTTACCTGCCACTAAATGTAAATAAACTAGACTTTTGGCTATTGGCATATACAGTAGGCGTTGCTTTCGGCTACTGCATGGTGAGTTTTAAGACAGTAAGGCATTATTTTCTGTAAAGCTGCTTTGAAATAGCATAGATTATAAAAAGCTCTATACAAATAAAAAACACTTGACTTGAAAAGCTGGTCCAGATTACAGTTTATTCTGGCCAAGAACCATCCACTTAGACAATAGAGACCATCTGACCTGCTTTTTCTGTGGTCAATTTTACCACAATATTAGACCAGAAATATTATTACAAACAAAAAATGTTTATGGACTATGCAAGTAGAATTTCTATCAATCCAGAAGTGAAAAGTGTTAATTACTCCATACATGTAACTCAAATCATAGCAGAACATACAGTTCTGCTTGTGAAATTTCTGTCAGACTCTGGGCCAGGTTTTGTGTGTGTCTTTGCTCCCTATGTGCTCCGTCTTCCAGTTTCTCTGTCTCGTGTTTTGAATTCTTTGTTCCCAGGTGTTTCCTATGTTGATTGTCTTATTAGTTCCAGGTGTCCCTTGTCTTCCCCTCATCAGTTCCTGTGTATTTAAAGTGTGTTCTAGTTCTTGTCCTTTGTCAGTCGTTGAACGTCATCCTGATGTGTCGAGTCCTGTGATCCCCAGCCTTTGTTAATAAAACCCTTTTGATTTATTCTACTCCGTGTCTCCTCGCTCCTTCGTTCCCGTGTTCCTCATGTGTGTGCACCGTGACAATTTCAGTTTGCATGTGCCCCAAACACAACTCTTAATATATATATTTTTTTATTTATTGCCACTAACCTTTAAATTTCATTATAAGGTAAGCATTCATCAGCTATGTAACAACAACTTTGTATCCGAGCGGACTGGTGCACGTCTTGTTGCATATAAGTTGGTGGTTTCAGCCAGATCTTGCCATTTTTGCATGCGGTACATCAGATAATCTAAACTGTGGGCAATATCTGTGGCCATGGCATCTGAGGAAAAAGTGAACTAAATGCAAACTTGATGGTTTCACAGTATATTGGAAAAACTGTTGAGTTTATGACGTGGGTTTAGTGTGTGTACAAGTTAAATGTGGTCAGGCCTCTAGAAACCGTGGACTTCAACCCTCTGTTCATAAATGTTTAGGTGTTTTATTCTGGCTCTGTCTTTGGCTAAATATGCCCCTGATTGTCCGTTAATTAACAAGCCAGTCCTGAACTTCATTAGGAGGTTCCGATGGCTAATTAAAATGTAGCCCAGAGTCAAGTGCATACTTGATTACCCTGCTGGACACCGTGCAGGAGAGAGAGAGAGAGAGAGAGAGATAAAACAGAACAAAGGAAGAAATGGGTGGATAATTTAAATCACAGAACAGTGGATGTAAAAACCACATGTCCTGAAGCGCGTTTGACTTCCAAACTCTGGTAGGGGTTCTGAGTCCATCAATCCATTTACTGGGTCAACACAGTGGTGTAATGTGGTCTAATCAACCCTTTAAATTAATAATTCATCAAAAAACACAATTTTTGTCATCATTCTTTTTCATACAACATACTGTACACTACTGTTCAAAAGTTTGGGGTCAGTAAGATGTTTGAAAGAAGCTCAATTAAGCTTAATTTATTTGATCAAAAATACAGTAAAAACAGTAATATTGGGAAATATTTTTAAGATTAAAAAATTCTCTGAGTATATTATAAAATGTAATTTATTCCTGTAAAATAAAATAATTAGCAGCCATTACTCCAGTCTTCAGTGGCACATGACCCTTCAGAAATGATTCTTTGATGAATAGAAAGTTCAAAATAACTGCATTTATTTGAAATAGAAATCTTTTGTAACATTACAAATAGGGCTGGGTATCGATTCAGATGTCCCGATTCGATTTCGATTTGCAAGCTCTCGATTCGATTCTCGATTTTTTGATTACATTCAGCGAATATAGTTTTAATACAAATGCTATTGATATTTCTAAAAAATGAACAGTAAACATCAGTTTACAAATGGTGAATTAATAAAAAGAAATTAAGAACCACATGCCTGTATTTTAAACCTATTCTTTTTTTTTGTATAGGGTCCTTTTTTAAACAATAATAGGGCCCTATAACATGTTCTTAATTTTTCTGGTAATCAGATGAAGGCATAAAACATTCATTTAATTTATCCTAATCAAATGAAAATTAAACCCTTTTATTTTTTTGGCAAACAAAGTGCTGCTCAACAGAGGTTTACTGTTAAAATTAAAAAGAAAACAGATGTGATTATTCCTTTAAAAATAAAGATTTATTAATATTTATTAGCAGTAGTAGCATTGAGTCTTAAGACTGTTAAATAGTAATATATTCTGAAAGTTTCTTAACGTTAAACTAAACTTTTATTTTGACGGGTTGAAAACACCGCGAGCGTCATCCGCGCTTTAGTATGTGTGTAGTAAACAAAAAAGTGTGCCGCACCATCCGCCATTCATTCATTGCGGAAATCATGGCGCCTT